CAAGAAGCAAATCAATATACCTGAGCCTAACCTTGAAAATTCGACTGTTTTCCGACTTCATTATAATGTTTGGAAGGGCCTGGAACCACCTTGCAGCTCGACAGAGGAAAAAGCGTTGGCACTATTTCAACTATTACTACCCCAGTTTTGCGAAAACAGGCCGGATCTTGATCGACTTTTTTCTACGGGGGTGGATTTGGCTGAAAGTTGGGTTCTAGGGGTAATTCGACCTCCTGAACACGAATATCACATCCACTTGGCCTGAAATTGCCTGGCGCCCGCGCCATAGGCGCCAGTGATTTGGGGCATTTTGGCGCCGGCGCCCGTAGCGCGGAAGCGGAGCGGTTTCAAGCCGAGGGAATGTGATATTCGTGATTAGGAGGTCAAACTACCCCCTAGTACAAGTTTCCAGCGCGATTTTCGTCATCTAACCGGTACTTATGGCGGCCGGCGGCTGTTTGGCGGCGGGCGCAGGCGGTTTCGAGAGGAGCGGATGTGATATTCGTGTTCAGGAGGTCGAATTACCCCTAGAACCCAACTTTCAGCCAAATCCACCCCGTAGAAAAAAGTCGATCAAAATCCGGCCCGTTTCCGGAAATCTGGGGTAGTAATAGTTGAATAGTGCCAAAAAGTTAAATAGTAGGGGCACCGAACTCCTACTTTGAATATTGGGGTAGAGCAAACTGAATCCATTCCCTCTCACACTACTGGGTCTGAGGATCCGAAACCGACTCGGGCTTAACTTAGTTTTACCAAGTAGAATTACGAATCCCAGAACAAATCCGAAAAACAACCCTGCGCGATACTGCTAAACTCATCTTAAAACCGAAACGTTTCAATTGTTCATTCATAGCCTTCGGAATGCTTCGCCTATGCGACAACCTGCTTGTTCCAACGGAGAAAAATTAGTGCGCAAATGCTGCCCACTTTTTTTTCGCTTTACAGAAATGTCTATTCTTTACGTTGCGGCGTCACACCTGCTTCTATTCCAAATGCCGGCGAATACGCATTGGTTTCGGCTAACAGCCTCAATAGAATATCAGGTCTGCTCTTCAACATTGCGCGAAATTAGTGAAGAGCGAAACATAAGCCTTACTGGTCACACGATCAACCTGAACAGAAAACTTGAGGACTGGAGTCAATGATCACCCCCAAATCCGTAACAGTCTCACAACATTTCAGGGGGACCCCATTCACTTCATATGACATGGCGGCTCCACCACCAATATGGAGCACACAACACTTATTTAAGTTCACTGCCAAATCAAGACTCGCCGCCCAATGGTTGAGCTTCTCAACAGATTGCTTAAGAGCTGCACAAACATCATCACGGTTTCTGTCATCATAGATACAACTTAACATCGTCCGCATAGACCTGCACCTTTAACATTTACTGAGGTATTGACGACCTTGGGCAACTCAGTTTGATGGCTAGGTGTACTAACAAAAATAACAAGTGGGAGAGGATCTCCCCCCCTGCGGCACCCCACTGCGTGCAGAGGTCTTGCTATCCTGCGGAAACCCGAACCACCCCTGACTGCCAATATCGACGGAATTATAAGTAAGGACTCCCAACCACCTCCATAGACCGCCACGTATCCCAAGCCTATCAAGAATTCTTAATAACTTCTGGTGATTGACCCCGTCAAACGCCTTGGATAAATTAATTTAAATGACGTTGCATACTGATTCTACCTTGATTTAATGGCTAGCGCCACCCCCGTCATATAACACTCTCGACAAAGGTTGGTAGTCGTGCTAACCCCGGGAAGGAACCCATGTTGTTCCGGTGGAATGATTCTGAATCTGCGACACCAGGACAACAGTTTTCCTCTTATAATCTTCTCCATTACTTTGGCTGGTGTAGAAGTGAGACTAATAGGTCTAAAATCACTGACAAACTGAGCGTCCGAGACCCTTGGAATAGCGGAAACCAATGCTTTCTTTCAAAGCTCTGGAACTTTAGCCGGTCATAAAGGATACGTTTTGAAAATATGCGCCAAATGGTCCTAGCTTAACAATGAGGTGACACTTACGGCAAAAGACAATTAGGTGGGATTCCGCTGATTAGGGTTCAGAGTCGCATAGGTTGAGGTGTTGAGCAGCTCAATAACATTTCAGAAGGGTGAAATGGATGTTGATCTTTAGGTATAATGGAAATCAAGGTTTTCCAATTTCCCATATATTTTCCAAAAGTTTTAACGAGACTTCTCCAAGATTTTCCTCCAAGAACCAGAATTTCGCCGTCGAACGGGAGATAGGGGCTTTATAGTATATAGAATATGTCATCGCATTCACTTCCTCACCATCGATCTCGACGGTGAGTCCTTTCTATCCTTTTCAACAGCAGCAGAAAGCAAAATACACGCTTCATAAGCTTCATAGGTTTATTGAAGAGGAAGCGTCAGCCTACTTTCTGCGACTTATTGCAATACATTTCAGCAGCCGCTCAACGACAAAGATGTAATAGTTTTTATCGCAACTTGTCTTTTGTTTTAAGAAGCAAATTCGGAACCTGCTGTTTACCCTGTGTAGCAATCACCTCAAGAGCGCATCGAATTCCAGGGAGATCCTCACTCATGGAACTAACAGACAGTACAAACCTTGTAGAGCACCGAACATCACCTCGACTACAAAACGTTTTCAGTCTAAGTCTAAGCAGAAGGAGACGGTTTCTGAGATTACGGACCTATGACAAACGTAATTTCGTTGCCATGCTTAGTTTAAGCCGTCAGTAAAGCTTCATGCTGCCCCTCGCGTATCAAGGACATAAATTATCAAGCTGTAACACATTCTGACCGCATGTTGACGTTTTTTGATAAGCATGTAGCACGAGATTTCTCGTCCAAAACAAGTGTGCCCATTAGCTGGCGAGGATTTCGAAAGGGATCACGTTGGATGTATCTACAGGGGAAGGGGGGGCGGGGAACAAAAAAAGACACTTCGCTCGAGTCACGTGTCCAGTAAAGATCAGAGAGAACACGTGTAGACGAGCACCAGGCCGAAGATATAGAAGATGCTCCTCTCGATAAATAGCCACAAGCTCTGGTCCATCACCTTCATGTACATCAAAATATGAAGCCATCTCCAATCGCAGCCTGGCTGGAGAAAGCCTATGGAATTTACGTCACTGCAGACAGCTACAACCTCTTGTATCGAGTCATCCATGGACAGTTACCTGGGACCAGCACTCTTGATCTGGAAGACCTCCAAAGTGAACCTGACTGTCACATCAGACAGCTCGAGAAGAATATCCTGCCTTCATGTCGTCGCCTGTACCATCTTGGAAACTTCGTACTGCTACAGGATTGGGTGCCAGCACATGGAATCGAAAACTCTCGCCTACTTGGATCGAAGGGCGTCGAGTACCTGAGGAAGACGATCCAAGTGTGTCACCTGACCTAATCTAGCTCGACTAGGGTTCGGGCGGAGCTCAACAGGGTGGTCTACAGTGGCGGAGAAATCAACGACCTCGCTGAACTCAGGCACCGAATCACGGTCGCGTGGCAGAATCTCTCGATGGCGTTCGTCCAGAAGGCTGTGGCGGAGTTTCGTGATAGTGTACAATGTGTTGTTGAATTGATGATGGAAATGTCTTCGAGCCAGCCAAGAACTGAGGGATGATAGTCCGGGTAGAGCTCGATTTTGCGAGCCATGTACTGATATGGCGCCTCTAATCATGATGTCACCACTTCCTGCTTTATCACTGAATTCACGCAGATTCCACTCAGCCTGAGGCCTAGGGTACCAGGGAGGCCGAAGGTGTCACATATGAAACGCCAGTCGAAGGTCAGATTGGTTCAGCCCAAGCCCTCCATTACTCGAGGTCTCTTGGCTTGTTGGGCAGGAAAAAACATCAGCTTGCACACTGGGAACCCTGGAGCACGAAAGTCTTTGCGTAGACCGAATCGTGTCCAAAAATGCAACCTTTCGACGCTCGGAAATTCCAGAAATGAAATGTTAAACGTCGAAACCTTTTTGCCTTCATTGTCCCCTTATCATTTCAACTAATCTGTGCTGACGTAACTACGCACTAGCATCATCTAGGTCCAATGCACAATCCTTTGGATTAGTTAGAAGGCATTTAGCAGCGATCAGTAGCTGCCATCTAATTAGCATCGTTCTACGCTAAATGAAGGCAATTCCGGTGGCCAAGAAGATCATCAAGGTCGCTTCGGGTAGCCAGCGGGTGCACAACATACCCGAAAGGAATCAAATAAATTGCGTTGAGACCATGATGCAAAAATAGGGATTTGCAAGTGAAGGGTTTCATCTATACGTCCTCACACCATCAACGACAGGACCTGCCAAGGGCACTGATGCTGAAACCAATCATTCTTTTTCAAGATGCACCGCACATGCGTTTGTATTGTAATTATCTACTTTTCAGCTGTCGCAATGGGTTTATGCTCGTTTGTCGTCCCTCTGAACATGCACGACATCGGTTGCACGGTGCCACAGATTTTGCGGTCTTCTGTTTGCAGGTGTGTCCATCAAACTTCACTGCATTCGCAACTCTTGTAGTCACATGGAGGGGTTGGTCCAGGTGTCACTCACGTGGAGGGGAGCCGCTCCTAGATGGATTTAGATGTTTCCAGAAACCCTTTTGGCATGAACAACTTAGTCCGCCCTTTTCGGAGCTCTTTTCCCTTGGGCTTTAACAAAAACAGTCATCTCTTAGTCTCTTAACCCAAAATGTGACCCAGCCCTAAAAATGTCAAAGAAGGGCTCGGAAAGGTCGTACATATGTGAGGAGTGAATTTCTTGTCATTAAACCGTTATGAGACGTCATGACGTCGTGCCATATTGGAGAGCCGTAATCCCTGCAAATGATAGGCATGCGGCGGCGCATGGCTTGGAACGTAGCCAGGGCAGATTTCTCAGCAATTGTAGTGAGCTCAGGATGACATCATTGTTGAGCCGCGCTGACTGCACTCCAAACTGCGCCGCGTCACACGCCCTATCGTTTTGCAGTGATCGCCACTGAGCATTGTCCAGGATGTGCGGACTAAAAAAAAAAAAAAAAAAAAAAAAAAAAAAAAAAAAAAAAAAAAAAAAAAAAAAAAAAAAAAAAAAAAAAAAAAAAAAAAAAAAAATATGTAATAGGGCACAAATAGGTGTTCCTATAGTCGTTTTCGCTGTGAACCCTGGGGCGTCCCAGGGAAGTGTACGAAGCAGGCGTGGCGTCAGCCCCTTTTCACTGATTGTTGTCGATTGCCTGCTTCAAAAACCCGTAGGAAACAAGCTGGCCAACTCCACCCCTGACACGCCCCAGTGTCAGCAGCGAAAACGAGCACATTATACTCTACAGAACGCAATCGGAAATGATCGAATATTTCAGGGTTGGCTGGGCATATGCAGCGTCGTCCGTCTGCAGCCTGGTATCAATTTGTTGTCCAGTGCTCGGCAAGCTAGCGTCCGATGATCGTCGCCGATATGCCCTTCTGATCCAACGGCCTGAACATTTCCTGTGAACAATTTGCCTCTTATGACGTCACTTTCATCGCCTCTGCTTTCTTCCTCGTTGCAATGCCTTCATTAGTTGAAATGGCTACGAGACATTACCTTCCTGCTTTGATTAGAACCACTGGCTGTTGTTTGCTCACGAATCGCATCACTTTCCGTTGCGAGGAAATTGAATTGGAATTGATTTCGAAATAAATAGGAAAAATCGAACAATAGTATTAAGATTTAGAGAAATAGATGGAAAATCTTTTATAACGAACAACAAAAAGATCAACAAATAACAGCGTATTCTAACAGCTTGACATGAGTACAGTCGATAACGTAGCACGGAATAAAAGTGCAGCGGATCACTTGATGAGCCCCTCTGGATGAGCCATGCACTTCACTTATTCAAAATTGCAGAGAGCCATTTCCATGTCATTGTGGCCGGCTAATTGACAGCAGAACTGCTTGGACCAACTTGACAAACTAGCTACATGTTAGCCAAAAGCCACGTAGAACTTGTAAATCTCTGCAATTCTGAATGAAAGCCGCTCACGAGGCGCATCCCAAACAAGTGACTGAGAGTTCATCCTCTGCTCTTTGGAACGAACAATTGCATAAAAATACAATGACGTCTAGAACTTTTGTTTTCTTTTTCGTCCGGAGTACTTTGATTCATGCCGTACATTGCTGAATGAAATATGTTATGCAAAAACGTGCAAAGCTTAGCTTCAGGGTACTCACCGGCCTTGTTTAAGCATCACGTCTCTTTTCTCTGAATCGCACTCTTTGAGCTTTCAGGAGCTTTTTCATCTGCTTTTGGTGCCACCGCACCACCACAGCCAAACATCCTACAAGTCAACCATTAAATCATATGAATAATAGGGAACAATGAAAGAAAAGCACCTCGCAGTATTTTCCACATGATGCTGAGTGTCCATGGATTCTTCTTCACCTGTGAGGGCTTTCGGCAACTGGGCGACTCCTACCAGGTCGATGCTAGAACGTCAAAGTATATCTTCTGTAAAATAATCAATGTTTGAATGAAATTGGAGACTGTATTACATTTGACGCTATGGTGCTTCAGGGGAAAGAAACAGGGGAAAAATCGCCCTTTTTATGAACAGAATTCGCTAGAATCGCCCAACTAATGTTTCAAGCTTAGATGGTTATTCGTTGTTTATTTGGGAACCTTATTTGCTGCATTCTTTTGGGTAGGGACAATGTTAAGGATTTCTCAGCGGGGAGATGGTGTGCTCTGCGACCACGACTCTTCCGTGCGCAAAGGTCATCTGTGCCTTCTCTGTCTTCACGTTGCTCCAGATGGAGTGCACTTCACAACTAGATTCATCTCACCTCCGGAGAAGCATTATACAAGGCGCGAATTCGAATTTCGGTTCTTTTGGGACTATGAGGAGTCCCTTCTTCGTTATTGCTGAGATGTCCTTTCTTCGATTAATCGGAACCAGACTCGTCTGGGAAGGTGAAAACACTGACTCGTGCAGGGGTTGATCCCGGAATTCATTGTATATATCAACTCCTGGGCCACTGAGCCGCTGGCTGTCGACTGTGACCACACCCGTGTGCACCTAGATACACTTCATACCCCGGATATCGAAAGGGCGTTGCTGCACACTTCTTTCAAACGTGGCTGCACGGGGAGGATATCGCTGTTCTGCGACAACTGTGATCATGCAAAGCTATAGGATCAGGATGGCACTCGCTTCAAGCGGAAATTACGCGAAAAACGCGTCCTGCGCCATGTTCGAATGAAGTACCCAGTTACGCCCCTCTATCTACGCGGTCTGGAGTGCACTTGTATGGCCGACTTAGTCATCTATCAACTCTACAAATCGTTGCATATTCCAAATTTCCCTCAAGATTTAAACACCTGAGAATTCCTGGACCGAAATAGAGCGCGATGCATACCTCGAAGAACTTCACCTGATACCACTAGTATTTTATTCACAATTTTTTACAGGAGTTGTGGTTGTTCATTCCCTTTGAGAGTTCTAATTCTTTCGTAGCAGAGAATCGTACACGTCGCAGAGGCCTGCCCACTCACATTGCCAGCAGCACGGCGTCCAGGTCATGATCATGCGGGCAAGACATTCGCATGATCTCGGATCGGACTCTTATCTTATCACATAAAACACTATTTCTTTACATCACATCGCACTTCATCTTTTTCGCTGTGCTGTCCCTGCGAGACAGCTCTCCGTTTTGAAGCCTATCAGAGCATGGTGCACAACGCCACTCACCAGAGGTGATACCCGGTCGATAAAACGATCCACAAAGATAATTTACAAGGACAAATTTTTCTTCAGGATGTACTCATCCTATTTACCATCTCTACTTTATCCTCGGCTGGAAAAACTACTGCCTACGACAAGGCTCGCTCTTGTTTGGATGAGGCCTACGTCGACTAACCCACCGAATGAAAATTCAATCAACGGCTCAACTCATTCAATTTCGCTTCTTTTGTTCCTATCGCAACTTCTAGATTGTCGGCCCTCCTCTCTTTCA